AAAAAAAAAAAAAAAAAAAAATATGATTATGGTAGCTTCTAATTCTCTTCATCTTTCTTTCTACATTCAATGAAGAAGCCATGCAAGCCTTTCTGCAGTTTGAGACCCCGCATCCAAGCACCAAAAGTCCTGCAACTTGCAGGTATCCTGAGAGGCTTAATATTCTTCTGTTCTCACCAGAAGTCTCTTCCGTTTCGTTGAAAGGATTCACCCACCCACACACACATTGAGGCCTTTTTTTTTTTTTTTTTTTTTTTTTGCCCCGAGCCATAAGAGGGGGGAAAAACAATCGCCTCGTACAATCCTACTAACTCTCAATGATGGCAATCACTTTTCGGTGGGCCCACACCCCCAGGTCTACACCTCCGTAACTAAACAGATAGTTACTTAAGTGGAATAGCTACACACCCAATTTCCCACGACTAACTTTATCCGGTTAGGGTAAATTTAGACGCAGCTTATTACAATCAGTTAGACTCGAATTACTCTGCAGCTCGTGCCCCCCGGTTCGAGAACGAGCAATTTGCGGACCAACCTTCGGACGCGGCTAATCCGGCTTTGTCCCAGAGACTGAGACATCTCATTAGATCGTAGCCAATCATGTTTCCAAACTGCCTGCTGAGCCCCCCTCAATGGCGGGCACCACCTCTCATTGCAGACTGCTGGGAAAGCTGGGCAAAGGATGATGATGATGATGATGATGATGATGATGATGATGAAGGCATGGGACCCACCTCTCAGCTGAGGGTCAAATTGTAGATAGGCAACCTGTAAGACCCTATCCCAGGTTTGCAGTAGAGTTGTCACTAAATCTGAATGCGTTTCATGTCGTTTTGGTGGGTATACCACTTGTGTAGGAGAATAGTTGTACTTACTCTGCATGCGGAGAAATGAGTGGTGAGCGGCACTAATTCAGGCGTTAAAGCTTTCCAAGTAGTTACACAACCCTAGTACATACTTAGTATTATGTTAGTGACCACTCCAAATCCCTTGTTTTCTGACAATGTAACTTAGATTTGTGGACTTGGGCGCCCCATCAGCCCTGGGCCACATTTCCGAGTGATGCAGGTGGTTAGTTAATGATCTCGGGATTCTCGCACAAGCGTTTGGGCTGATGCCCCCCGGTAAGAGCATTGTAGATGTATGCAAAGGAGAAACAAGCATATAATATAAAACAACGGGAAGTAAAAATAGAGAAAAGAAAGAAGGAAAATGTAAACCGAGAAGACTCCTTTGATGCAGTTCATTTATTTGACTCCCAAGTAGTAATAATTGTGCTGTAGTAAGCTTTCTGCTAGGAATTTTAGTACATCCTGCTGTTGATAATTTTACGTGTGGGAAATTAGCCGATTAGTCTTAAGTATATGGCGATAAGGAGTTCAATCAAATCGATTTACATCCGATCAACCTTTAGGTTGATTAATTAAATCACATATGTCGGCTAGGCTGGGCGTACTTACCCGTCAGGGACACGACTACACAAATATATCGTGTCCGTGTAGATTTGTTCTTTTCGCTGCATGTGTCAGGGTACTAACTAGTATACTTGGCTCTGTCCGACGATGGTTGGCCGTCATGATGGCTGGGGTCGGAGAAATAATCCATCAAACCAACAATTTCCAATCATGCTATTATTACTGTTAAGATGAGAGGTTATAGCTACATCGCTGGAATGGCCGTTTCCTTGTTTTTCTTTTCTTTTCTTTTCTTTTTTTTGTTTTTCCCTTTATTATTTTTACCCTTCTTTTATATGTATATATATATATATTTTTCTCAGCCTACCTGGTTTAGTAAAACTGACACTGCACCTAGGTAAGCCCTATATTACTAGTAGTGATACTATAGAGTACTTAGTAGTTACGGGTCCGGAAGGGGCTGGATTGAGATTGGCCAATGCCCGAAATCTTTGAACTTGGAAGAGTTCTTTTGCTCTATGTATCTGCTTTGAGAGGCACATCCAGATGGCATTTTGTATTGCAGAATCATCATAGCCATAACCCATCATCAACATTGCCTTAACTCCAGGAGGCCTTACAAGAGGGGTCTGCTAATGGTGTTCCCCTCGGCCGATGTTAGCCGAGAGAGTTTGAGTCTAACTAATTTAAATTGAGACCACGTTTACTCTAATCTTTTTTTTTTTTTTTTTTTTTTTTTTTTTTTTTTTTTTTTTTTTTTTTTTTTTTTTTTTTTTTTTTTTTTTTTTTTTTTTTTTCTCCCTCTCGCAGTATACACGGTATCGGCTTGTGTTCCTTAGTCACTTTCGATCTGCTCTCATTGAGCTCTAGAATAGCTCACCCAGTACCTCGGTAAGGATTCTCATCATCCCGAAAACAGCAAACTTAGGTGTTTATATTTTAAGATTGACAGAACCGTTAACAAGGCTGACCTATAGAGTAAGGTCCTGACCCCCAAATTCCCCGGGTTATAGTGGGTCTCCCTTGAACCAACTAAGTACTCACTTCCTGGTAGCACTTTGACTAGTACTTCGAGTGTCTCTTCCACCCAACGGCTGCATGCAAATCGGATATTCCTGGACAGGTATCACCTGATCCGGCAGGTCCTATATGGCCCCCAGGGACCGAGATACTCGTAGACTGAATCCATACTCTGTAGTCGAGTTCCTCACAAAATTGTTCCGCATCAGGAATGCCTAAAATACTTCCAATTTCAAGGTACCAACGGCGGGATATATAGCAATAGTGTAGGTCAGCAGCTCCTGAGCACGTGATCCACATTGTATTGTTTTTGATTACAGATGGATGAAGATGTACTGTTGTTGGTTCACAGCAGCCTACAAGGTCATACAAACTTTTGCACCATCTCTAACCTATGTATCTATCAATAAAGTGGTTGTCATCTTGTGCGCCTGTAGCCTATTTTAACTCCTGAAACGCTAGAGCATACTAGTTTACGACTTAATAAGGCAAAATAACTGTGAAAATAGAAACCAAAGAAATCAAATAGAAAGGAAGGGAACCCGAAAGAGGAAGGGTGTGTGAAAAATAAAGAGTAGTAATGAAGGGTACCTAATTGACGGCCCTCTCTGGCAGTGGGTTGATTTAATGGATCAAATTTCTTCTCTTTTCTGACGGATTAGGAGTGTTGCGGGCTACGATCCCGATCCCAATTACCCGTCTCCGGCTTGAGGGAGGTGGGCTCCTAATTTGTCTTGACCTTGGATGTGCTCCGCATAGTAATCCGAAGAAGGGAACAACAAACAGCATTTCAGCTTGTTCAGATGCTTTACTGTTTACATAGGACCGGCCTGCGAGCGTGATGATCCACACCAGACCAGTGTGTCAGCCTTCTCTTGTTCAACTTTAAAAACCCCTTCAGTAATTGTAAATTATTGTAAAGTAAAGTAAAGTAATCAAGTTAAGAATGTGCTGTCTTCATTCGTGGGTACCTTAGGTAATTTCCTTCAAGCTAAACTCGATCCAGGGAAAGGTAAAAAGAAAAGTGGACGTTTTGACTTCTGTACTTTATCCGTACTGTGAACCAAATCCCCGAAACGTCTGGCTAGTCCGTTTCTCTCTTTCTCTCTCTCTCTCTCTCTCTCTCTCTCTCTCTCTCTCTCTCTCTCTCTCTGCTCTCTGTGTCTGTCTGTCTGTTTCCTTCCTCCAGTCCCTCCACTCATCCATCCACCCCCTCCTCCCAATCCCCAATCTCCTCTCCTCCCCTCCCCTCCCCTCCACATACCATTTCACTTTTCCTTTCCTCTCTTTTTCTTTTTCTTTCTCTCTCTCTCTCTGTCTTTTTTACTTTTCCCTTTTCTTCTTATTCCATTTTTTTTTATTCTATTCTATTCTATTATTTTTCTTGCTTTTTCCCTTTTTCGGTTTTCGTGTGTTTCTTTCTTTTTCTTTTTCTTTTGTTTTTCTTTTTTCTTCTTCTCCACCATCCGCCCCTCTCTTGCTGGCTCTTGCTGCGGCCCCATCGCCGGGTCCGTCTGCCTGGCCCTTCCTCTCTTATCTCCTCCCGAAATCCCCATCCATGCCAGCCTAGGCTCGCTCCGGATCTTGTCTAGTGAATCGTTAACTTCTTTGGACGCTCTTTCCCTGAGGAATCGCTCCCGTCCCCACCAACCACAAGCTGTTTTCTCCAAATGCACTGACTTCGGGCGAATCCGATCCACTCCAGGCGGTGTCTGCTTGCTGCTCCTGCTATCACTATTACCACTACTACTTCTACTACTACTACTTACTTACTTACTTACACTCCGCAGCTCTTCATGATCTCCTCCTACTTACTACTACTTGCTGCAAACTACAACTACTGCCACTACTGCTCCTCCTCCTCCTCCTCTTCCTCCTCCTCTTCCTCCTCCTTCTCCCTTTCTTCCCTTCTAACCTGCCCGGTACTTGCCATTACTGTTTCTTATTCCAGTCTAGATTATCTTCTCCTTTCCTCCTTCGTCTTCTTTTTTTTGTTCCTAAACAGTACCAGTCACGTCCACGGCTGGCTTTTCTCTGGGTTCAACCCTCCCATGTACTTTTCCCCCTCTAGCTGCTCCCGCGTTCTCCGCGCTCGTCGCGACCACCCTGCTTCATCCTTGCCGGAATCGACTCGTCTTTGAACTCTTTCCTTCGTCGACCTCTTCATGCTCTTCCATCCGACCTCTTCCACCTATTTACTCTGAACGCTTCCTGGCCTTTCAAAACTACCGATATTACCTCAATTATCTCGCTTGTCCCAAACACCCCGTGTCCTGCCGCCCCGCCATGGAGGGCTTTGATACCATGGCTATGCCTTACCTGGCCAGCCCGTTATCGCTGGGCAATATACAGAGCACCGATTACCTCAATTCAATGTCCGGCATGGACCTACCTGAACAACGTTCTAATTTCGAGACTGAAACATTCGTGAGGTGAGTTGTCGCTGACATCTCTCCCTCTATAGATCTCGTCTGACATACAATCCCGCTAGTGGGGACGACATCGCATTTTCTCAACATGCGTTACCTCCCGCATCGTTGAAGAGATTTCCCTCTGGTTATGAGGATCCGTTCACAGACATGGTCGCACCGTTCGAACCTGCGCCGCCCGAGCAACCTCCTGATTCTATAGATCATAACAATAAACTGCTGAGCTTCTCCATGCCTGCATACGGCTTCACTCTATTAGATTACTCTCTACGCCGCACCTCAATATCGCTCTCTGCTCAGCTGCACGGCATGTTTTTTCTTGCAGAATCGCCTTGGACTACATCTCCTACCGAGAATGCCCCGCCTCAGCAAGGAGCGGAGCTGACGTGCTACCGCCGCAACCTATTTCAGATAACAGGGTCTGTTACCCTCCCACGGAGCTTACGCTACATAATGACGGAGCAAGGCGATCGGATCCCTATCCTGGCTCAAGAACTCACTGTGTCTGCTACTGAGTCTGTTGAAGGCAATTCCGTCAAGATTATCTCGGTCCCTTGGAAGACTCCCGCCACTAATGTGAATCCCTCGGCTGAAGATGGGAACAATAATTCTAGCGGGAACGGTGGTAACCCTAATAGCAACAATCCTACTATTAAGGTTGAAAAGGAGCCACCTCCGATTCCACTAGATATCATGGCTGGACAAGACCTTGATACTGACTACGCCACCTTCCCCATTGCCTGGAAACGACTCCAATTCCGCGTTGCTACTGCGAATAATGGACGCAGAAAGGAGCTTCAGCAGCACTTTGTTATTCGCTTGAAGGTTGTAGCTACGCTGTCCACCGGTGCCAAGATACCCGTCTGCGAGGTGCAGTCGGGCCCCGTCATAGTCCGGGGGCGGAGTCCACGCAACTTTCAGTCTCGCAAGGACCTGCCATTGAGCAACAGTGCTGCGGCGTCGCGGAAAAGCGCACAAGCCGCTCAGTCGGCTGCTGTTAACCGAACCACAACCGGCGATCCTGCGGCTAAGGCCAAAGCCACATTGAAGAGCAGTTCCCCAGAGACGTCTACCTCACAAGGTGGTGTAGTTGGACAACAAGCTTCACCGGATTGGGCGCAAGTGCCGCCTCCCGTTGGCGGTGCGCATCCCTCGACGACTTTGCCTCACTCGACAGTATATACTCAGTCTAGCCCGGAGTTCTCGCGGCCAACAGAAGCCCAACGACATCCAGCTGCCGCCCCCATCAATCTATCTCTCCTCGAAGATGATGATGGTAATGATTCGGCTAACCCGGCTGATCCGGCCAGGCCGGCGGCCTCATATACAAACGATATGTCTCACAAGCTTATGAACATGGATAATTCTGCAGCGCCCCCGGCCAAAATGCGCAAGTTGTCTCATGGCTTGCCCGAAACACAATCCCGAAGCTCGTCCTCTTTGCCTTTACTGAATACTGCCAATATGCAGCAGCCCTTCGCTTCGACGCTCCCATTTCCAAATGAGAGTGCCGACTTATTATATGAGTATTTCCCCTTGGGCTTGGATGATTGGCAAGCACCCGTCGATGCAGTATATCGACCACATGTAGTGCATCACACAAACTTACCTGAAGTGAAATTTGTTGCTGCGCGCGGACGAAGCAAACGGTATTTCGCCGCAGAAGATGTCTTTTGACGATGAGACGCGTGATGAGCCATCGGGGTTGATTTCATGCCTCTGCAATTGGCGTTGGAGCCGGTTTCCTAGACCCTAAACAACTGCTCCAATTGTCTCTTCTTTGCACTTTCTCTTTGTTCTTTCACACGTCCTTCTCCCTCCACAAACCGGTTCCCTTGTCTTTTGTCTCGCTGTTCTATTTTCTCGTCTTTATCTGCGTTCTTCTTCCTTGTCTCTCCCCCCCCCCCCCCCCCCCCCCCCCCCCCAACCTTCCCTCTTCTGGGCCTTGGGATGTACGGCTATTTATACGACCCTTCCCTAGTAAGGATATTAGTCGCGGCGTGATGGAGTCAAGTTAGGAAGCGGCTTTTGGCTTCTGCGCCTTTTTGGCGTGTTTCTCTTCGTTTTCTTTCTTTTCTTACTTTTATTCAATTTCCCGGCCTCGACACCCTCTTCATTACCGTTTCAAGGGTCACCATCCTTGTCCCATTCTTCTCTACTTTTGTCTTCTTTTGATTGCATATATCTGAAAGGAGGTTTTGTCTGGTAATTATATCTTCGCCGGCTACGGGACCGAAGAAAGAGTATTGCTCGGCTGGTCGTCTGGAACGTTCCTGTACCAAAAATTGTTTTTTAACATTTGACTTCATCAGTCGGTATCTGTGGTGCACTGCACTTGCGTTTGTACGCACTGTTTTGGATCTATATGGGGAAACTACAATATGTAATAATTATCGGCGCTGAACGAATTGCAGGTATACGCGGAACCAATCCTGACAATATACATGTTGACATGAGATTTACTTCCTGTGAGCATGGGGTAGCGTGACCATGCACTCAACCTGCCCCATTGTATCTATGACAACACTCTAGCCAAGATTTCGTAAAGTTTGTTTCTGAATTAGCTAGCCGGTACTCCGGGCTAGTGCAACATATGAGCAACAGGTCCCTTACGGGTTGGTGTTGTTAGAGATAGCCAAGGCCATCACCACTGATGGCCTCAAGGTCGGCCTTTATCTCCCATTCACGTGCACCCACGCGTCCTGCGATCTCTGTCTTGCGTTGCTTGCTCATATCTATCCATTTGAACAAGAGATTACCGTCGAGCATACCCCTACCAGCAGTGCCATCGCTCTCCACAGCCCGGAAGGCTCGGGGATTAAGACCGCAGGGATGTTCCAGTGTATTCGTCAGCTGCGACTGTAAAGCAGACAATCTGCGGTATGATTCTTCCGGAATGCAGGTGATCAAGCCAAGAGAGCCGTTCTGTGTGGTCATCAGGACTTGGTGGAGGGGGCTCTGGTTGTCGATATCCATTCCGTCCGAACTGGACACCATCTTCTCTGAAGAGACCATTGTACGTGGCAGAAGAGTCAACGTGGAGGCGAAGTTGCCCATATGAAATTTACTACGGCTAAGCAGCCTGTCACCGTTCGAGGATTTAGGATCTGTGCCAATTAGCTGAGTCCTTGAATAGTGCTTTCTGGCTCTCCTGTCTTACCCTCCGGATCATACTGCAATACATGAATGTTGCAATCGCTGTCGGCCACAACAATGAATAGTCTTTTGCCGTCTGGAAGGAACTCAGCCGCGCACACTTCAAGGTAGTCTAGATCCTTGGCAAAAAGGCTCATTTTGTAGGGCTCCTCCTGAAAAGCGGACATGTTAGCTTGGCATGCTCATGTTGATTCCATAGTGACCGAGCACGGGGACAATACCGAATAGCCTGCGAACCAAACACCTTTCACAGCATCGCCAAGGATGCACATCCCAGTGCCTTTGAGCTCTTTTACGACGCTGACATAGCACTGCATATCCATGAAAGCAACAGGGAGGAGGCTACCATCCTCCTTGAGGCCTCTGACCATACACTTTTGTCCTTGTGCAACCAGGACGAAGCCCTGGCCACCAATCTCAGATAGCGCAGTCACGGCACCTTTCACTGGTTCTTTGCCAATGAGCTTCAACTTGCGATCTGTCTCAGGGCGATCTGGGTCTGGAACAACCTGCACAACCTCGAAAACATAGATGCAGCCGCGTGAAGGTATGTCTTCGCCCCGGGCGAACGCAGTACCCACAACGATCATGTCCTTGCGCTCGTGGGTGTTTTCCGATACTTCAAGACTTATGTTTTTAATCGCCATGACGTACTCGTCTGCGCCGAGGGAAAAACTGTGCAAATGAAAAATTAGGATGACCTAGTCTTGACGCTGTAGATGATGATCCCATACCTATCGATGATAGACCATGTATTAGGGCTAACAAGCTTTATAAAGCTTCCACGCGCCGATGGGAAAAACGAAATAGCTAGACAGTCTCAGCCTGGTTCCCTCATGGGTAGATAGAGAACAAACCTTCATTACGCCATTCTGGGTGCAACTCGTCATCCTCAGGCAACTTGAAATCGGTTGCATGACACGTCCCTAGTACGTACATCCCGGAAGAGGTGGAATAAGCTAAGTGGTCAACTTGTTCTCCTAGGTGCACCCTTTTCAAAGTCCACTGGTAATCAAATCGTGTCATAGGGGGCAGTTTACAAAACCGAACCGTACTCTGACCACTAGGTTAGTATATGCTAAAAACGAACTATCATGTGATTGCGAACCTGCGAGTCCAGGTAGATAAACCCCTTACTGCATTCAGGGGTATCTAAGCTGCTTACGCTCCGAGAGTTTTCCCCTCTTAAGCGCAGAAAGTGTGGCGCACTTGCGGATGTCCTGATAATGAAGCCTGCTGAAGCACCAGGCATGAATACAGTACTGAGTCCCGAGATATCGGGCAGGATGCGCAGTGGCCTAGCTCTATAATCCGAACCACTGGGCTGTGTTGAACTGACACCAGGTGGGATCCTTGGCAGGACACTGTTGGTCTCTTTGGAAAACTTCAGGCTGTGAATCCCTTCAACTGGTCCCGTTGAAACCACAAAAGGCTTGTAAATTATCAAATCATCAGTCTCAGATCGTAACTATCAAGGCTTCGGTTAGCACGCTAGAGCTAGTGATTGAGAGGCGGTACAGAGTGACCACTATGGTGGCATACAATCAAATACGGCGAAGCACTCCATGTTTCCCCGAGATCGGCAACGATTGCCTCTATCAGATTCTCCCGTGTGCCAGACCGCTTAGGTGGCTCGCTGGACAACAGAGGCGACAAACCGTCTGTCCCCTCGATTATCGATAGCAGCTTTTGATCGCGGACGCGATAAACCTGAAGATTTCGAAAGCATTAGATGCCATCCACGCAGGGCAGAAGACGATCAGAGCAAGCATTCTCTCGCATAGTGGGTTCATGACACTTACAAAGAGCTTGCAATCGTGGCTGAGTAGAAATAAAAACATGTCGTTCTTGACTGGCTCACTCAGTGTTCGATCGATGGAAGAAAACATCCCGGTTTTGTCGCTGTACAAGCAACAGGATATCCACTTTCCAGATGCTACATCCTCACCAAAGACTACTTCATCAAGGTCTCCACTGTCGTCTGCTTGAAGGAATAATAACGTAGAGTCGTCCCGTAGAATTGCAAGGCAAGAATCGGCCAGACTGGCACTAACAGCCATTCGTTCATCATTGGTGTCATCGTCCCATATCGGGTATATTTGAGTTAAACTCAGGTCTGTTCCGTCAGCAAAGTTACGTCGACACCGGCTTGGTGTGAACTTACCAAAGTCATAACTCCGAACCTCGTTCTTTAGGACTTGGACCACGCGCTTCCTGCTTTCCTGTGTCCCAATGCTAATTGTCACATCTTCGTTAGGGTTGAAATCAGGTGCTCTGAAAGGTTTCAGACCATGGCCATCCACTACGAAGATGAGCGATTCTTCCCTATCGGAGCCTTTGACTTCCGTTGCAATAACATAGCATCGCTGCGATTGTTGTCCCATCTTCTCTGACGTTCCTGAAACAGCCTCTTCCTCCCGAGTCAATGAAGCTGTCCAGATGCAGTCTACTGACTCGAGCGAAATTGAAGCGACGACATGAGGATCGATCTCGCGGGCCATTACTACCAAACCACCACTCTTGTGTGAGCCTTGGGAAGCTACTATCTGCAGCTCTGGAGAAGTACTATTAGTACGATCGCCTGTCTTTTCTTGGTTCGTGGATAGCCTCTTTCCCATAGTAATGTCCCTAAGAGGGCCGATGTTGATAAGCTTATCGTGTATCCGGAAGTCATACAGCCCGAAAGCGGATGATTCTCCTGACGGACGGCGGCCGGTAAGTGTTGTGTCCGGAGATGTAGAATAGAGATCGTCTTCGTACACATCGTCGTCACTCTGATCCTCTTCTGACATATCCGCAGAGTCGTCTATCACTTGCTTCGCTTGCAGCCGGTGCTTTTTTGTGCTGGAAGACGAGTAAGAATAGCCTAAAAGCACTGAATCACCATCTTCGCTGCCCAGGAAAATTTTTCCATCACCTATGAAGGTTGAAGCTGCTGCTGCGGAATATATGGAGGTAAGACCTGCGTGAGCCGGCAGTAGGTGAACCGAGATCCCAGAAACTGACCTCCCATCTAACTTGAATTTCACGATGGCCATCTCCCCGGTAGTAAGCACCAAAAGCATGTCCCCACTGCTATCCCCGAGACACTCGACGATACAATTCTCAAGACGCAATGCCAAATCGGACTGGTCAGTCATAGAAAATGATGAAACTTGTCTTGAGAATTCGTTAACTCCAACGGCATTGGTCTTGCCTGCCTGATCGATATGCACGAGTTCGTTGGACCCGATTAATAAAGCACCGCCGACAGGAGGCGGGAGAGCCACCACTCTGAATAAATCACTAGGCAGCCTTGACACGGAAAGTAAAACCGTGGATGCTTGCTGCTCCAAATCTAGCGTAAACACAGTATAGAAAACCACGTCTTTTCTTTCAGGAAGAAGGGCACTTGATGTTGCAACTTGGGAATATAATATGCCAAAGGTCGGCTCCCTATACTCATATAGGAAAGCAAGGCTTATCGGGTGAAGTATGGAAGGATCCAATGTCGTCAAGGGCAGAACAAAAGATGGGGCATATGGAGTTTGATAGACAATACCCTCTTTGGCCTTATCAGCAACAGTACCACCCCCGAGATCGTGATCGGTTGATATTCCTTCCCCGAGGTCTGACCCATAATCATCCATCACCAGGTCATCTCCTGGCTGGTGAAAAGGAATAATGGCGAGATTTCGAATTCCAAAGTTGAATATCGCACATCTACTGCTTGGGTCCACACTGAGGATGCTGCCACAATTATTCAGGTCAGGAACCCACGGACTACGGGTCAGATCATCTCGCTCGTAATAATGAATGGAAATGGTGGAGATGCCACGACGCTCCGGGTCCCATTCAATCAAGCTAAGTTTGGCATTCCGGAAGGCGACCAAAACAGCTTCCCCGCCGCTCTTGCTGTTGAGCACCTTGACCCGACAAAGACCAGTTACAGTCCCCGAAAGTGAATACTCCTTTTCCAAAAGGAGCTTCGTCGATTCCTGCTGGGCGTCGGCTCCTTCCGCATGGGAGGCAACTTTATGCAGCGAATAGATCTGAAGCAGTGATGTTCTAACCACAATCAGATCGTCTGATGTTGCCGCAAGGAAAGGGACCGCCAAAGCATGGGTGACCCCAGTCGGGGGCAATATTTCAGTATAGCACTGCATCATGCGTTTGCCAAACCCGAGAATTGCTTTGCCTAGGAGTATTTAACTCTCCTCGTCAAACCCAATTTACTCTACTGACCTGCGCAAAAGAAGCATTGCCAGGAAAGTAAAGACGGGCTAAGCAGATGGTTGTTGTGAACAAGGGGAATGGTCGTGTTAGGCCTGAGAAGACGGCGGCGAAAATAAATAGTAACCCACGCTTTATCATAACATTCCTAGCTAAGACGGGCATGATTGGAGGTTCCGCGCTTCAAGTGCGATGCAGCACGTGATAATACATCTGGCCTGCCAGACGATGACGTAATACATGCGGACTTTTTGACACCAAAAGAAACGTTAATTGATGGACCTCAACGACTCTATTTCCCTACTTGCCTGCCTTGATTATACCTATCGTCATGCTCGTCTTGAGTGATCTGGGTATAAATGAAATCTGAAACAGAATAGCATCTAGCTCGTCTATCCATCCACTCTGGTGTGAAAAGTTCATCGGATCTGGAGTCTTGACAATACATGCACCCAACCCATTGCGGACCTGTTGTCTGTCGCCTTCTGTAGGGCCTAATCTATCTCCATAACCAAGATGGCCCTTTTACAAACATCCCTTATATGGGCAGTATACGCTATTGTGGTAGCTGTTCTGGTAATGGTAGCGTCGGTATTCATCTATACTTATCAAACGCCTCGGGATCGCTCTTCAGTTGTGACGTTCACGTGTATCGTTGCGATTACAAGCTTACTTGCCACTGTTCTTTTGTTGCCGGTGGATGTTGCTTTAACCTCTTCTACCACATCCTCGAAGCTTGGCCAAAGGAAACCCTGGGCCACTCAGGATGAAGTAGATAAGATTGTTTCTCTATTAACGGCTGTGTACTACCTCCTTTACTCGCTTGATGCATTCCTGTGCCTACTCGCAATCCCATTTGTCTATTTCTGGTACGAAGAATATGATGAAGTGGCTGTCGAATCCGGTGAGCAATCTGCTGCCAAACGACTTTGGACGGCGTTTAAGTACACTATCTCGTTTATTGCGATAGTGGTTGTACTTTTCATTGTTGGCTTTCTTGTCCCTGTTGCGAATATTAAGGACAGCAAAGTTTCAGACTATCTCAGGAAGCTTCTGGCTGAGAATCGTAAGATCACCCTTCGCCTCCCTGCAGCATGTCCCTACTCGCATTCTTTCAAGATACCCGTTCATAATCCAATGCTGATTGGTTTCCATCTAGGTGGCGAGAGGGTCCTTACGTTCACCCTTGGGTTATTGATAACAATGGGTCTGTTCCTTTATATCCTATATACCTCAACGGGCCTTGCTGTTCTTCCCATGAGGATGATACGGGCAGCTCCATCTGTGTCAGATATGACCTGGAAGGCGTCGACGAGTGCACAGCTTGAATCTAATCGAGAGCGTCAGCGCCAGCTGGAAGGTCGCTGTAGAGGAGATCCGGGTCTTCTCTCTTCTAAGGAACGTAGAGAGCTCGATACCCTCGTTCGAGACGAGAGGACACTTATCAGGCGGCAACGCTTGGCAGAAGAGGCTGACGGTGAAGGTCAAAGCCGATTTATGAGGGCATGGCTAAAGACCACGGCTTTCTTCCGCCCATTAAAGCTGCTAGGCGGCATTGCCATTCTCTTAATCACACTTATGATTTGGATATCGATGCTCTTGACGGCAATTGACAAAGCCAAGAATTCTATATGCAAACAGCGTTGCGGATACATACTCAGTGGCATTGGGGTTTTCAATCCCATCAACTGGATATTCGTCCAATCGGCCAAGGTATTTCCGATTGACTACGCCGTCCTTACAGTAGTTGTCCTGTTGCTATTTGGCAGTTCAGTGGTCGGGATATCTACCATTGGTATTCGCTTTCTCTGGATTAGAATATTTCGGGTCAGAAAGGGGCACACGTCTCCACAAGCCCTGCTGCTGACCACTGCCATGCTGATGTTGACAATACTAGCATTGAACTATTCGATCCCCATGCTTGTTGCACCTCAGTACGCGACTTTTGGACCGCAAACATTTTGTGATCGCCCCCAGGGCCAGCAATCAGATTGTTTGACTAACAAACACCTGATCAAGCCATGCTCGGAACTAACAGACAACACGGCTGCCAAGCGAGTCTGCACACCCAGCGTCACTAGTATGTTTCTCAACCGCGTGACGATAAGCTATCCCTTTTTCGGTACAGTATTTTTCTGGTCCCAATTCATCTTCCTCGGTAAGTGGGCACCGTCTGTCTTCATAAAACCTAGTTACAGGCTAATGGGACGCAAATTTCAGTTATCTACTTGCTCGTCTTGGTCACCTCTTTTATCCGCCATCCGAAACTTGATGAACGTTTACTGGATCAAGAAGCTGAGGAGGCCGAGGAGGAACGGCTACTGACAAGCTCTGCAAGAGGTGTTGGTGATACCTATCAAAGTGTTGGTGGACGAAACAACTTCTCGACTAGAGCAGGGTAATAGGTTACTCGGGCTTATATTGCCTTATAATGTCGACCTTCAGGGACAGTGATAGCTTGGCTTGTAACATTTCAGTCAAAATTATCCACTGTTATGCGAACGAAAGAGTGAAGCTTCATAAATTACATTGTATGACAACCTGCAATAATGTGTAATCATCTGAAGTTTGGTATGCGGTAAGAGATAAAGGGCAGAGCTCGAAGAACCCCTTTTTGATAAATCTCAGGGCTTGAGGCGGTCATTCAATAACGCGAGGGCACTCTGGAAAGCCTTCACAACATCGACATCTGAGTCATCATCAGCAACAATGTACATAAAAAAGGGGTTTTCTGGATGAGACTGATACTACGTACAGTGCTTACGTTTCAGTTCTAGATCGTCTTCAGATGTTTGAACATGTTTCATTTGTGTCTTGAATCTACAATAGCATCAATGATTATGTTGAGAACTCTGGGGACTTTGGAGGGCCAACCTTTTTAAAGCTCTGATTTCATCGCGCATGATGGTTGTCTCCGACCACGCCATGAAGATCTAAAAGAGAATATTAGATAAAGGCCACGAGATCAATCACGTCTGTAAGCACCTCAAGCAACTTGGTGACACGGTTGCGTAATTCTTTTTCAGCATTTTCATGCTTTTCCATAGAAGCGATATATTCTTCTTGGAGCTGGTCCCAATCATAGTCTATAAGGTTCCCTGAAGGTGGAGACATAGTATACTGCTGAAGGGTCTTCAGAGACTCGGTGCGAAGTTCGCTCTGATGCAGATCACTATCAGGGAAACTGGGGCCTGCAAGGTCCCTGCTTAGAGAAGCCATGGCGATGATTAGACTATAGCTTCTTAGACTAAGGATCGAGCATCGAATAGGAGCAGTAGCAGTAGATACAGAAGAGAAATATCTAAGTATGTGGTGCAAGCATGGATCACGTAATTTTGCAGACCATGCTCACATTTGATGCTCAAGTAACAGGGAACGTACCAGAGGAGCCCCGTTAAATGTTAGCATACACAATTCAAGAATATATGTGGCTCAACTTACACCACCTAGCGCTAGAAGTCGCTCGTTTTGAGTGATGTGGCAGAAGTACGCAACTTATGAACTTGCTTAATGGCTCAGTTTAGCATCGAAATCCCTTAAGGAGGGGAAAGCGAGATGGGTCAGGTGATCGCAGCTATCCACCATATTACATCGCACATACTGCTTTCGATTGATATTTTTAAATAGGCTGAAAGTTTTGATCACCTACAGGTCCATCTCACTGCGTCGATCTCCAATAATCTCATCATTCAGCTGTTGGAAACGGCTGGTAGTTGCGGCTAAGCACTATTAGAAACCAAACGCATTATGGGTCTCGGGCGGGTATTCATTGTGTAAAAGCAAGCCAGCTGGTATGCTGAATCGAAATGTCTCAATTGGCTATAGCAATACAGTGGGTATGATTTGTTTATACTAACAACTACTGAACCCGAGCTGGTGAAGTCTCAGCTGCTAGTACTCGGCTGTAATTCAGTGATACAGATACGGGACTTAAGCACGAAGAAGCGGTGTGTGATGTTATACGACAACCGAGGTCGCTTATGTAAATTTATATGCCTCAGGCTAACAGTCCAGTATACATATACGTATGGTCAGGTGACGTGACGCAAACGGCGTCCCCTTCGTTGGCTTCAGATAACTCAGCTCCATTGATACTTATCGATCATATTTCGTCCTATGTCATCACTTTAGCCGGCTAAGACATGAGTGCCCCCCCTTTTAATGACTTGTTCATGCAACATACATGCTCGGAGCCAGACAGTCGAGTTGGTAATCCATCACCGGAAGCCCAAGGCCATGCGACTGTGAGCTACGGCGGTATCAATCAACCAAGAGTGAGACAAAGCTTGTTGAGATGAGCTGTCACACATGCTTTCGCGCTCCAGCTTCGCGAACACGGTTTTTCTGCCCTACCTGTGCCCGTAATCAGCTGTATCAGCTCCGGGTTGAAACCGCGAGAGTCTTGCTTGAGAAACAATCTATCGCGGAACGTATCCAAGCTGGAGTGATCCTTGAGACAACCCAAGCGGAATGGTCAGGTGAAATCAAAGAAACTTCCATTGCTTACCAGAATGGGCTCTCTACCAAGCGAAGCTTACAAATTATTGCTAAGGGAGAAGCTGAGTCGCGTGAAAGGATGAGGCTACTCGGTGATCAACTCGACAATCTGACTGCTGAAATCAAGGACAAAAGACTTGAAATTTCCCAGCGCAAACTCGCACTCGCGCGGCGGCACTCGGACTCTGAATCTGCACAGTATCAGCTCGGCGAGCGGGAGGCTGCAATTTTGGCCAACATCCAGAACAATACCAAGAGGACGGATCATCTGTGGCATTCACTTCATAGCAAGACTGCAGAGGCCCGAATATTCCTCTGCCGAGAAGCTGCCAATCTTTATGGTTTACAACGGAAAACAAGGAATAAGGAAGGGTTATCCCAAGAGGTCTACACGATGGGCGGTATAGATATCATCGATCTGAGGGACATGAACGGAAAGTTACAGCTCTGCGACTATTAATTAATATCAGTTAGTAATGCTCAGGACAGGTACCACGCCAGCTTATATTTCTACCTCCCTCTTCAATGTTGCTCACCTTCTCGTCCTTATTTCACATTATCTGTCTCTCAGACTGCCAGCGGAAATCACCTTGCCTCATAAAGACCATCCTATACCGACTATATGCGCGCCCTCTGCGTCCTATCTTTCACGAGATCCAAATTCCGTAGCATACTCGCTACGAAATCCACCATCTGTACCGTCTGGACCTAGAACCGCATCACCTCGTCCTTCCAGACCTCGGCCCCTCTCCATCGACAGAGCACTTCCTAAACTGGCTAGGGAAGACCCCGGAACATATGCACTTTTTCTTGAAGGGGTAACGTTACTGGCCTGGAATGTGTCGTGGTTATGTCGGACTCAAGGCATAAACATAACATCAGAGTCCTGGGAAGAAGTATGTAACGTTGGGAAGAATATGTGGCAGCTCCTTGTGGCACCACCTGCGCAGCCATCGACATTATCAAGAGCCTTTGCTGGACGCGACATACAGGCGAAGATGAGAGCATCGAAGGATTCCCCTAGAACTACCATTCAACGCACAATGTCATTCCCTATGCTAGGGCATTACTCGCATGGTACTGCACATTCCTTTCTGGGTGCTGTCGAGGGGGCTGAATTTATGCGCACTTGGAGGCTTCCAACTCCAACAAAGATCGTGGATAAGCTGAAATCAACTCTGTTGGGTGAGATGGCCAGTGCAGAATGGGAGCTGCTGGAAGGCGACTGGGACGACGCAAGTCAGGAACCGAGTGATTCAATGCTCCTTCAACATCCATCCACCACTTCTGCCTCACCGGAGCGACAGGGTAATAATAGCGGGGATAGTGTAAATGGTGCAGTTGCCGGCGCGGGCAATTTGAGTGGGCCTCGTGGACCCACTCGTATGAAGGGTACCAGTGGCTGGACGAAGCTGAGAAACAGGTAGTATCGGATTATACAAATTCTACGGGATAGATAGACTTCCATTAGCCAACAGCGCCTGCCAAGAAGTGCATTACCCTTAGACTTCTTTCGTATTTTATCAACAAATTCGGGTAAGAATCATCAGATACCAACAACCACGTGGCCGTACAGAGGAACCCCTTCGCGCGCATTTATACCTCTCCGAATTGGATTCGAATACTCCGTACGGAGTACTTCAAGGAGCGTCTTGCTCTTCACAGCATAATATTATTACCATATAGACATCACTAGCAACCGGTATTTAGAGAGATTTTTCCTAGTATATACTTGACCCTCGAAATCGCCGTCTAAAACATCTGTGGTGTGCTTAGCCTCTCCTACTTCGCTCCTGCGAGATCATCTAGGTTAATCAATCAATCGCTTAAGTGTTCAGCGGTGTTTCTAGCGGTGTGATTAGATAAGCGAGAACCACGGGATTGATTGATAAGATTATCTGGACAAACGAGCCGCGTGTCCGGATTACCGGCAAAGTCTCCCTACGAGTCCAATGTGCGTCCTCCCCTTTAGACATGGAAGGTGCGTCACGTCATTGAAACTGCTCGCTGCCAGAACTTCCGGCGTTATCCCGGTCGTAGAAGCAACTGTATGTGCTCCGCTGCAATGCTAATTATCAACTGCTGATGCGACTTAGGCTGCTTCCGAATCGTTTGAGAGCCTGTGCCGTCGCCCAGTGCTTGTTTTCAGGTCATGGATGCGGCGAGAGTACATCGTTATATGAGAATTAGCCCAGAATGGACGGAAACCAAAGGCCAGATCAGACCGACTTTAGTAGTTCTGGTAAGTCTCCTAAGGCACATACTGTGGGAGATACATATATCTCTCTATCTGTCTTGGCCGGTCCTACTCCCAGCCTGCTTCGCTCCGCACAGCACAATTTCGTTCTCTACTAACGTAAAGATATATCCGTAGGGGCTAAATATATATATCCTCTAATCTTCGATATTCCTGAATCTGTTTTGCGGGCAGAGCTTTCCCGACGGAGTTATACTCGAGCTTCTAACGATGACACCTCGACTTGCGGATCAAGGGAACGAGGCGCCTATAACACGCCGATACATGTCTTTGCACTGTTTCTTATTCTTGTCCTTAGCACGCTAGGTACAATTCACTTTCTGTTTGGCGTCTTGGGTGATTGGCTGCTAACTCATGGTTGTATTAGCGTGCTCATTCCCCGTTCTTGCTCGTCGGTTCCCGCGCCTCCCAATTCCACGCCGGTTCCTTTTCCTTTCTAGACACTTCGGAACAGGCGTACTTATTGCAACAGCTTTCGTACACCTCCTACCTACAGCATTTGTCTCATTGACCGACCCTTGTCTTCCTCGTTTCTGGAGCGAGACCTACCGTGCCATGGCCGGCTTCGTGGCTATGATCGCTGTATTTGTTGTAGTCCTCGTTGAGATGTTCTTTGCATTGAAAGGTGCAGGTCATGTCCATGGGAGCGAATACGACCAGTTAATCAGCGACGTCGGCGCAGATTTCGCAAGTGAGGATCAAGACGAAGACACTGATTACGGAACCGGATTGGCCGACAATGTCCACCTTGACAGCCTTGGGGAAGACATGACTCTACGCTCTCCCGCGTCACTTGGAAGATCCCCAGCTAATGGGCCTTCAAGGCCAACTAACAAGGACTCGGCTGTGCCAACCGAACTCAACGACAGGGAGTTTGGAGAGTCACATACCTTTGAAGATACTCGCATTAATGCCCAGAAGAATCGGGATGAGCAGCCGTGGCATTCTGATCGCCGTCGGTCTCATGGTAGCGTACATCAAGGGACCGATATCGAGTCATCCAGGCAGAATCCGCAACGCCAATTGCTTCAATGCTTGTTGCTCGAGGCCGGAATTCTCTTCCACAGTATTTTCATCGGAATGGCTCTCAGTGTTGCCACGGGTACATCATTCATCGTCCTTCTTGTGGCTATCTGCTTTCACCAGACCTTTGAAGGATTTGCTCTCGGATCACGGATAGCGTCTCTGATCCCTGATCTCTTTCCCCCGTCATCGTACAGACCGTGGCTCATGGCGCTTGCCTATGGAACTACTACCCCCATAGGGCAAGCTATGGGACTTGTTCTGCATAATCTTTATGATCCAGCAAGTACCACGGGCTTACTTACAGTGGGGATTACTAACGCCATCAGTAGCGGGCTATTATTATTTGCGGGGCTTGTTGAACTTCTAGCAGAGGATTTCCTTAGTGAATCAAGCTATGCGACGCTCAGGGGTCAACGGCGTGTCGAGGCTTGTGTAGCCGTTGCAGGAGGCGCTCTACTCATGGCATTTGTTGGAGCATTTGCCTGAACATCTCCCACAAATTCTCTGTTGATGAGGCGATGTAGCCAGTATATCCTAAAAACGCCATCAAGATTACGACTTAATCAAGAGCTAATAGCTAAGATATTTGGGTGCATCTAGGCGCTTTTGGCTAATGGATCTTTACGTAGTATTTAGCAGTAGCAGACCGTCGTATGTTAAGCGTGGGTGAGCAACCGTGATTATACATCCTAGTAGTAGAATGACCATGTATAGTACATGACAAATTGGCCATCAGACCTCAATATCTTACTAGTAGTATTGAGACAGAATGTTACAAGGTTATGATTATATCTTACACTGCTAGTGACGGAACTTCCGTACTAGTATGTTGATTGACGTACTTGCGCCAAGATAAACAGGATAAGACTGTATATCCGAGAAAGGAGTAAATTCACTCATGTATTTATTATATTGCATTTCATCAGAGTCGAAGACCCACTCCACTCACCCCGACCCAAGACATGGTGCCCGGCCTCAGAGCATCGGCAAGGGTATTAGATCAATTTGCTGTCCTCATATTTCGCGACAGCAGGATTTAATCCTCCAGGTGGAATGATTCCTAATTTAGACGAGGGATTCCACTACCATGGCACTAGCACCACCACCACCGTTGCAAATTCCGACACAGCCGAGCTTGCCCTTCTTTGCCTTGAGGACTCCGAGCAAAGTAGTCAAGATTCTAGCACCACTGGCACCAATAGGGTGACCAATAGCCACAGCACCACCATGAAGGTTGACCTTTTCTTCAGGTAGGTTGAGGAGCTTCATGTTCGCGAGAGCAACAACGCTAAAGGCCTCGTTGATCTCAAATGCATCGATGGAGTCCTGAGTGACACCCGCATGCTTAAGCGCCTTGGGAATCGCCAGCGCAGGAGCAGTCGTGAACTTGCTGGGTTGGTGTGCAGCATCTCCCCAACCGAGAATCTTTGCAACAGGCTTGAGGTTCAGCTCTTTAACCTTGGCCTCGGAAACCAAGATAACAGCGGCAGCCCCGTCGTTGAGAGGAGAGGAGTTGGGGGCCGTCACAGTTCCAGAGCCAGGAATGAAAGCGGGCTTGATGCTTCGAAGCTTATCAGGGTTGAGCTAGAAGATAAGAGCCAAAAGAGTCAGTTTGACATGAACGACCTGGACCGAATACCCTCACGTGGTGAAATGGGTTCTCACATTCTTGGGCTCATCATCTTGAGACACGGTGACACCTGGTTTACCCCTGAAGCCGGGTAGTTCAACAGGTGCAATCTCTTCGTCGAAAAGGCCGGCCTTCTGGGCAGCTTGGGCCTTTTCGTAGGTCCGAATAGCATAATCGTCCTGCTGTTCCCGAGTGAATTCATGATCCTGGGCACACTCCTCAGCCTGCAAACCCATAAGCTCCTGCTTTCCCGCATCTGTCAGGCCATCTTTCATGATCCCATCCACCAGGCTCTGGTGGCCATACTTTGCGCCATTGCGGAGGTTTGGAAGGTAATGTGGGGCATTGGACATGGACTCAGTACCGCCGGCCACAACGATGTCTGCATTACCAGTCATGATGGTCTGAGCGCCCAAAATGACCGCCTTCAAACCCGAGGCACAGACCTTGTTAACAGTGGTGCAAACGGTTGACTCGTCAAGTCCGGCGCCAAGAGCGCATTGTCTGGCGGGGTTCTGTCCGACACTTATTGATTGGGGTAATTAGCATGCATCATGGCAAAGGGTGTAATGGACACAGGAAGCGAAAGAACTCACTTTGCAGAAAGAACGTTGCCGAAGAAAACCTCTTGTACATCGGAAGGCTTGATGCCGTCGACTTTGTTAAGAGCAGCTACACATCGGAGCAGTCAGCGATCAGGGGCACATCATCCATCGCTTCAGCGCTCCAGGCATACCTTTGATCGCATGGGAACCCAGCTGCGGAGCAGTCTGGCTCGAGAGAGATCTGCAAAAAGAAATGTTAGGATCAGCTTCGTCATGGACCATTTATCTGAGAGCCTGTGGCGGCCTGGCTTGAAGTCTCACCCCAGGAAAGAGCCCACTGGAGTGCGGGCGGCGGAGACAATGTAGACCGGAGGTAGGGAAGACATGGCGCAAATGCGTGCTTCTGGGGGCAAGCAATTTCGGGAAGGGATGAGGAAAGTAGAAATATCAAAGGAAGACCGGCAGGCTATTCGAATAAATAACAAATGAGGGTGAATTGGTAGCTCAGGCCACGAGGGAACGAACGGGATGAACTGTTTGCTTCCGAGTCGGTCACTAGTAGGCCTGCCCGCCGCCAGCCCCTCCTGACAACAATAATAATTACCCTATTTTTTTCGCCTCGGGAGGCGGGGCGGCGGCCACGGACAAATGTACTGCTTTCGGGGTAACTTGCCGGAGCCGTGCAAACACGCCAAGCTCGGACCCGGAGCTACTAGAAACTTATCGCCAAACCGACGCGAGCCTCTCTCCAGCTGGTGGAACGAGGCCGAGAGAAAGGAAAAGTAAACCCGGAAGATTCGCCTCTAGTCCAACCACGTTGGAAAATGGACGATCTTTACGATGAGTATGTCTCAATTGGTCACCATGTCCCTCTTACCGCCCTGCACACAGCTGATTGTTCTCTTTGCTTTCCGGCAGGTTTGGCAACTATATTGGAGAGGTAGATGGGTCGGACGACGAGTCTCCGCATAATGAGGATGCCCATCCTCAGGCTTTCGCTTTTGAAGAGGCGTTCGGGGATGGCGATGTTGATGAAGCGCATGACGTTGATGAGCAACAGTTAATGGATGTCGATGGTAGAGTTACCTTCCCCATACTCACCTTGTTTGCAAGGTTCGCCTTACTGATTCCAGTCACAGAGGGTCCGTCGAACGCAGTCATCCTTCACGAAGATAAACAATACTATCCCAGTGCGCAACAGGTGTATGGCCAGGATGTCGAGACCCTGGTGCAGGAGGAGGATGCACAGCCTCTGTCCGAGCCCATCATCGCCCCGGTCCAACAGAAGAAGTTTGCGATCGAAGAAGCCGAATTGCCTCCCGTCTATTATTCACGGGAATTCATGACGGATTTGCTTAGCTACCCGGATCAAATAAGGAATATTGCTCTCGTCGGTCATTTGCACCATGGGAAAACGGCTTTCATGGACATGCTGGTCACTCAGACCCATGATCTCACCGGTCGCCTCGAGAATCGAACAGGCAAGCGGAAAGAGGAACAACTACGCTATACCGACATTCACTTTTTGGAAAGAGAAAGAGGTCTTTCCATCAAAGCGTCACCCATGAGCTTGGTGCTCCAGGGTACAAAGGGCAAATCCCACTTGTTTAACGTCATTGACACCCCAGGGCATGTGAATTTTGTGGACGAGGTGGCTACTGCATGCCGGTTGGTCGATGGCGTTGTCCTTGTAGTAGATGTGGTTGAAGGCGTCCAGGCCAACACCGAGCAAATAATCAAGCATGCTATCCTCGAAGACTTGCCGCTCACATTGGTTGTGAACAAGATGGACAGATTGATTCTCGAATTGAAGATACCTCCCAACGACGCTTATTTCAAACTGAAACATGTGATCGAAGAGGTCAACACTATCATCGAGAACGTACTGCCTGGGCAGGGCGCTGCAAGGCGGCTGAGCCCTGAGAAGGGAAATGTTGCCTTTGCTTGCGCCTCCATGGGCTGGTGCTTCACGTTGCATTCATTTGCTAAGATGTATGCTGAGACGCATCCACAAATTGAAGCAGCCGAATTCTGTTTGCGCCTATGGGGCGATATATTTTTCAATCCAAGGAGCCGAAAATTCACACGGAAAGGAGTGGAAGAAAGCTCTAAAAGAACATTTGTCCAATTTGTCCTGGAGCCTATCTACAAACTTTACTCGCACACATTAAGCGAGAGCCCGGAGGACTTGAAGGAAACGCTTTCTAGCGTTGGTATTAGTCTTAAGCCGTCGCAGCTCAAGACAGATGCAAAGACCTTACTCAACCTTGTCTGTGAACAGTTCTTCGGGTCTGCAACAGGCTTTGTGGATATGGTTCTCCAGCACGTGCCTTCGCCTGCAGAAGGTGCTCAAAAGAAACTTGATCGGTACTACACTGGGCCTCTCGATTCTAAGGTGGCAACAGCTATGGCTGCCTGTGATTCTGATGGTCCACTGGTCGTACATGTTACTAAACTTTTTAACAGCTCGGACGGTTCAAGATTTCACTCTTTTGGCAGGGTAATGAGCGGCACAGCTCGTCCTGGCCAACAGGTCCGTGTCCTTGGCGAAGGCTATACTCCCGAAGATGAAGAGGACATGGTGATTGCAACCATTTCCGACACATGGATTGCTGAGTCCTGCTATAACATCCCAACAAGCGGCGTACCTTCCGGCAACTTTGTTCTTCTAGGAGGCGTGGATAATTCTATTGTGAAGACGGCGACTATCGTGCCTCTCACCTTGGAAGACGACGAGGATGCATACATCTTCCGATCGATTCGACATATCACAGAGTCCGTCTTCAAAGTTGCTGTCGAGCCAGTTAATCCGTCTGAGTTGCCCAAGATGCTTGAGGGCCTCCGAAAAGTCAACAAAAGCTACCCGTTGATATCTACAAAGGTGGAGGAGTCTGGCGAGCATGTAGTTCTTGGAACGGGCGAGCTATATATGGACTGCGTGCTTCATGATCTACGAAGATTGTATTCTGAAATGGAGATCAAGGTTTCAGATCCTGTTACGCGCTTCTGCGAGACTGTTGTGGAGACCTCGGCTATCATGTGCTATTCGATCACGCCAAACAAGAAGAACAAAATAACGATGATTGCGGAGCCTCTGGATGAAGGGATCGCCGAGGATATCGAAAGCGGTGCTGTTAATATCAAAGACCCAATTCGCAAAGTGTCGCGCTTTTTCGAAGAGCGGTATGACTGGGACAAACTTGCAGCCAGAAGTATTTGGGCTTTCGGTCCAGATGAGATGGGCCCCAACATCTTACAGGATGATACGCTACCATCGCAGATCGACAAGAAATTACTCGGGAGTGTAAGAGATTCTATCACGCAAGGTTTCACTTGGGGGACACGAGAAGGTCCGCTTTGCGAAGAACGTAAGTACACCATGCTTTCTTTGAGTGTTTGAGGATTATAGCACCCAGATCCTACGCATAGGAATTACATTGCTATAAAGGCTGAAAAAAAAGCGGTTCATTGCGACTAACTGCAAAAATAGCCATTCGAAATGCGAAGTTTAGGCTCACCGACGTTTCTCTCGCCGACCAAGCCATTTACAGGGGTGGTGGTCAAATCATTCCCACAGCTCGACGAGCGATTTACTCATCTTTCCTCATGGCATCACCACGCCTAATGGAACCTATCTACTCTTGCACGATGACTGGACCGGCGGACGCTGTCGCATCAGTGTACACAGTCCTTTCAAGGAGAAGGGGCCATGTACTCTCCGATGGCCCCATAGCAGGAACTCCACTCTATTCCGTTCGTGGTTTGATCCCCGTGATAGATTCGTTCGGATTTGAAACAGATCTCCGAATCCATACACAGGGCCAAGCTGCCGTTAGTCTTGTCTTCGATAAGTGGAGCGTCGTCCCAGGGGATCCATTGGATCGCGATGTCAAGTTAAAGCCCTTAGAGATGGCACCCGCCATGGCCACAGCCCGCGACTTCGTGTTGAAAACGCGGAGACGTAAAGGTTTGGCTGAGGACGTCACTGTGAGCAAGTTCCTGGAACCAGAGCTCTGGAAAGGTCTGAAGGAAAGTGGCGTTTTGGACTCCTGAGCTATTTTGTCGATAGATGGAACGAAGCAGCAACAAGCGCCCGTAAGTGGTTCTTGTTTTTTTTTTCCATATTGTTGTATAACTATCGGACGTTGAATCAAGTCACCATCGAAACGTGTATTCTTGTGACATAGTAGAGACGCCGCCGATGAGGGTCATAAACGGCGTCCAAATAGCAGTACGATTGGTTCATTGGCATGTTTCGAGCATCTTTGCGATGACGCCCATTAGCGTACCATTTTCGAGTGCAGCAGCCACCCTTTCTTTGTCGGCCAATTGCTTATTGACTTCATCGGCTGTACTATGCGTCCCTTCCTTTATCCGGACATCCACGCGAAAACGCGGAGGTAATGATTGCTCCAATCGAACTCGCACACCAAGACCTATAACCGTAGCCAGACTGCAATGTGTTATCGTCGGGGTTATGAGAACGGATACTGTCCGAAGAAGCGAGCTCGGTACATCCGGCAGTGTTGGTTTTATAGAAATATCAGGCAGCGAAACGACTGCCAAAGCTCCGAGTGAAATGGGGTGTTCAGGGTCGGATATGGTCGACACAAGATCTAGAGATTGTCAGATTATAGGCTCCCAGGCGATTCGTTCCCCTTTCTTGGGAACCAACAATGAGCTTACCGTATATCTCCTGTTCATCAATCGGCTCTTCCATCAAATCAACATCTTCATCAGATTCTTCCGATTCACTAATACTGAAGTCGGTGGGATCCGCTGGAGAGGGGAGCGCTGACGCAAGAATTCCGCCTCTGTAAGTGCCCGCTTTGCGAGATGAAGGACGCAGACGGGTGGGAAGATCTGCAGCATTCAAAATAGTCGGATTCGAGTTTTGCATCGCGGACTCCATTATCCTTATGCTACATACAAGTGGTTATCGACAAAGCGCGCAAGAAGCACCGAGAGGGGAAAATGGAGGCAAGAAAGGGATGGTAAGCCCTAGCACAATGCGGCGGATTGAAGAAGTGGAACAACCTTTTTCCAGATGATTGCTTTGAGTGATATCGGCCTTAGAAAAAGGGAGAAAGAAAGCTTCTCAGCACTTATTGCCAATGGCAGACAATACTCAAAGAGTGTTCTATGTCTTTGATCTATACTAGTTGTTTTATGGGTCTAATAAAATAGAGAGAACGGAAAATCAGAGTGAGGAGGAAGAGGAGAATACATCGGTAGAAACAAATGCGTGCAGATACACAAGAAGTGCGTATGCACATCAACCTGGTGGGCAACGTACAACTTCGGGCGGGCGGACCAGCCCATCGAGTACCCAAGTATACATAGGCACTCCAATAATCCAAATGGCTCTTTCAAACACAGCAGCGCTACGCAGTAAGTATAAGTTTATCATGCTGTCAATACTTCCAACACCAACAACATCATAACCTATTTATGTATAGCCAGACACCAAAGGATAGTCGGGTTCTAGATCCTGTGAGTGTAAGAAATCTTAGTAAGTGAGCAGCAGCGATTACTAGTCGTTATACGTAGGACCAAGGAGTC